GTCCTGGAGGGGTTTGGAGGGGACAGGAAGGGACAGAAAGGGACAGGAGGGGACAGGAGAAGTTTGGAGTGGTCCTGAAGGAGTTTAGAGAGGTCCTGGAGGGGACAGGAGGGCACAGGAGGGGTTTGGGGAGGTCCTGGAAGGGACAGGAGGGGTTTGGGGAGGTCCTGGAGGGGTTTGGGGAGGTCCTGGAGGGGTTTAGAGGGAACAGGAGGGGTTTGGGGGGAGACAGGAGGGTATTTGAGGGGTCCTGGAGGGGCTTGAAAGGGACAGGAGGAGTCTGGAGCAGGTCCTGGAAGGGACAGGAAGGGACAGGAGGGGTCTGGAGCAGGTCCTGGAAGGGACAGGAAGGGACAGGAGGGGTCTGGAGCAGGTCCTGGAAGGGACAGGAAGGGACAGGAGGGGTCTGGAGCAGGTCCTGGAAGGGACAGGAAGGGACAGGAAGGGACAGGAGGGGTCTGGAACAGGTCCTGGAAGGGACAGGAAGGGACAGGAGGGGACAGGAGGGGTCTGGAACAGGTCCTGGAAGGGACAGGAGGGCTCTGGGAGGGTCTGGAGGACCCAGGGAGGAGCCAGAGACAGCCCTGGGTGGGACCCGACCCCTCCCCAGGCCCCAGGGACCCCCCAGAGCCCCCCACTCACACGGGCACCTCCTCCTGGGGCACGTAGCCCTCCTTGACCCGGCGCTGCTTCCGCCAGGTCCCGTCCGGCCGCTGCGTGGACGGGATGTACCGGCCTGGGGGGACACGGGGGGACACCATGGGGACACCACGGGGACATGGGGACACCATGGGGACACCCGGGGGACACCCTGGGGACACCCTGGGGACACCATTGGGACACCCTGGGGACACCATTGGGACACCCTGGGGACACCATGGGGACACCATGGGGACACCACGAGGACACCCCCTGACACCAGGGGGACACCCTGGGGACCCCCTGGGGACACCATGGGGACACCACGGGGACACCATGGGGACACCACAGGGACACCCTGGGGACATGGGAAGACCCTGGGGACACCCCCAGGGCCACCATGGATGACCAGGGGGGCTTCAGGACAAATCCAGGGACAGCAGGGGGACATCTGGGACACCCTGGGGACACCTGGGACACCTTGGGGACACCCTGGGGACATCTGGGACACCCTGGGGACACCCCCAGAGCCACCCATGGGCACCCTGGGGACACCTGGGACACCTTGGGGACACCCTGGGGACACCCTGGGGACACTACGGGGACCCCAAACCCCCCTCAGACCCTTCCCGACCCCGAGACCACCCCGGGGAACCCCAGACCCCCCCTCAGGGACCCCAAAACCCTCACGGGGACCCCAA